CAAATAATTCGAAAAGCTGGGTTCTATGAAGAAAAACATGGCATCAGGATTGGAGGAAAACTCATTAACAATGTACGTTATGCAGATGATACAACCTTGCTTGCTGAAAGTGAAGAGGACTTAAAACATTTACTGATGAAGATCAAAGAGCACAGCCTTAGGTATGGATTACATCTCAATGTAAAGAAAACAAAATTCCTCACCACTGGACCAATAAATAACATTCTTATCAATGGAGAAAAGATTGAAGTTGTCAAGGACTTCATTCTTCTTGGTTCAACTATCAACAGTCACGGAAGCAGCAGTCAAGAAATCAAATGACGTGTTGTATTAGGCAAATGTGCTGCACAAGACCTTTTTAAAGTGTTGAAGAGCAAAGATGTAAGTTTGAGGACTAATGTGCGTCTGACCCAAGCCATGGTATTTTCAATAACCTCATATGCATGTAAAAGCTGGACAGTGAATAAGGAAGACCATAGAAGAATTGACGCATTTGAGTTATGGTGTTAAAGGAGAATATTGAAAGTGCTATGGGCTGCCAAAATAACCAACAGATCCGTGTTGGAAGAAGTGCTGCTAGAGTGCTCCTTGGAGGCCAGGATGGCCAGACTTTGTCTCTCATACTTCAGACATATTGACAGGAGGGACAAGTCGCTGGAGAAGGATATCTTATTTGGTAGGGTGGAGGGTCAGAGAAAGAGGAAGACCCCCAACGAGATGGATTGGCCAGGAGGCAGCATCAATGGACTCAAGCATGGAAACAATAGTGAGGTCAGGCAGTGTTTCGTTCTGCTGTGCATAGGGTCACTATGAGTCTGTACTGACTCGATGGCACCTAACAACAACAACCAAGGATCTTAGGTAGTGTAGTGGTTATGAATCAGGCTGCGAACCACAAGGTCAGCAGTTTGAAACTACCAGCTGTTCCATGGGAAAAAGATGAGGCTTTCTGCTCCCGTAAAATTTTACAGCTTCGGAAACCCTGTACAGGGTCACTATGAGTCGGAACCAACCACCACCACCAGTAAAAGGTCTCTATTTATGCCACTGAGTTTCAAAGTACTCAGTCCCTCTTCTGCTGAGATGATCTAAACTAGACCTCTTTTAATGGAGTTGCTGTATGACCACCCTGCCTAGAAGCAAAGAGGAAGGATAGAATTTGTCTTTGAAAGGCGAGCCCTAGATTTTTAGTAAGTGGGATTCACTAGGTAAAAAGAACAAATGTATTAAAGCCAGCCACATCCAATATCACCAATTGCTTTTCTATTAAAAATGCAAAAAGAAACTAACTCAGTGACTCCTTTCAAGAGCTCTAATCTCATGTAAGATTCGATCTGACCTTTGAGAAACCCACTAGGGATTCTATGTCTTTAAATTTACAAAATTGAGCTTATCAAAACAATAATGCTACTTCCTAAAATTCATTTAAAATTACAGCTATATTTTTCTATCACTATTCTCAACCATACCATTTTATCAAACCTAGATTCCCTATCAATTTTTTTTAGAGTTCAATTGGCTCCAAGGGTACCATGGACTGCCAGAATACAAAAATCTGTGTTGGAAGAAGTATAGTCAAATTGCCCCTTAGAAGTCAGGATGGCAAGACTTCGTCTTTCATATGTCAGACATAAGGAGCAACCAAGTCCCTGGAGGAGGACATCATGCTTGGTCAGCAGAAAAAGAAAACCCCTAAATGAGATGGATTGACATGAGGACAACAGCAAAAGGTTCAAATGTAACAAATGAAAAGATGATGCAGCACTGGATAGTTTAATTCTGTTGTGTACAGTAGGGTCACTGAGTCAGGAGCAATTCAACAGCCCGTAACAACCACCTTCCCATCCCTAACTACTGCAGCTGTACCTTTTGTTCTAGTCAAATAAATCTCTTGGCACTATTTCTTACTCCCATGGCTACATCCATATCCTCCACCCTCTATGTCTAGAACACCCTCCCACTTCCATCTGCCATTTTCTCTCTCCTTTCAATCTTATTATTGCCTCAGAAAAGCACCTCTCCCAGGAAGCCTTCCTTAATTAACATTAGAAATCTTCAAGGAGTTTAAGAGATACCACCGGGTAATAATGTCTAACCTAAATTTTTTAGAACAGGAAAACGAAGGGATGCAAAAGTTGCAGGGTGTCAGCACACTTTGCTCTTTCCAAGACATAAACTACCTTTCAGGTGAAGGTTAGAGATATCCCAAATGTCTTTTAAAAAATGCTGTATTTCTTGATATCCACCACTTCTGCCCTCAGTACTCTTCCTCCATGTCCTAGGGATCCACAATTCACTGCAACACCTCACAGAACTCATAGGCCAAGGAGTGGCTCCCATGGTTGTGGATGCTGGTAAGTTCTAAACCCACAGTTCTTTCTGATGGCAGTCTGGAGGATTCTGCTCATGTACTCATTTGGTTGTTGACTCACAAGGCTATGGATGGTGGTGAATCATTACTCGAGTAAAGGAGTGCACTGTTCACTCACATCACCAAAATGGCTCATTTTATACCCAACAGAATAGCAAAATTGACCAAGCCCCTCGTTAGATTTCCAAGTTTTTACAATCACAATTAACTGTTAATAATCACTCACAGCTGGACTATGTAATATATAGTATGTTACATAGAGATTATGTATAATTATACAATCCTATCAGCGTTTCCCCCACCTTCTCTTCCCAGACCCATCAGGAAAGTTGCTTAGTGGGAGTGACAAGGAGACATGACATACTCACTGCAGTGACCATTTTGTTGTTACGTTCTGTGGAGTCGGTTCCGACCCATAGCGACCCTGTACAGGGTTTCCGAGGCTGTAAATCTTTACGGGAGCAGAAAGCCGCATCTTTCTGCAGAAGAACAGCTGGTAGTTTCAAACTGCTGAGATTAGCAGCCTGATTCATAACCACTATACTACCAGAGCTTAGGCAAGTATTTAGAACTATTTTTCTAAGAGATAACTAAAGAGATCATTTTCATCAACCACCCTTTTTAAAGACTGAGGTTCTCTATTTTATTTCTCTTAAATCCTATGTGGCACCGTAGGATAGGGACTGGACCACAAGGTCAATTTGAACCGAAAGGTGGTGGTTCAAACCCACCAGCCTCTCCTTGGAAACCCTACACAAGGTTGCTGAGTCGGAACTGACTCGACGGCACTTTACAACAGATTAAGTCTATGAGCAATACAGTTGACCATTGAACTCAGGCTTGAACAAATGTGGATCCACTTACACACTGATTTTGAAGTATCATGTGATGCTAATCATCTCTGCATGGGTATCTCCCCAGTAAATTATGTATCACAGTAAAATGTGGCCCTCTCGTGCTTCTCACAAATGTTTCACTATGTTTAGTGTAAAATCATAAGACCTTGAACAAGACCAAGAGACCCATATGAAGTGCCCCTAGTGATCTTGGAAGTGCTTTCTAAGAAGCTGAGAAAAGTCATGACTATTTAAAAAATTGAATTGCTTGATATGGGCCAAAAATTGAGGCCTATAACTGCAGTTGCCCACGATTTCAAGATAAATAGATTCAGAATAAAGACCACTGGGGGGTAAAAAAATTAAATCTGTGAAGCTGTCATTGTAGCTGAGCCATCGGGTGTGAAAACCTTGAACATTTTGCAAAAGACCTTTTTTTTCTCATATAGAAAATGGAAATTCCTTTTTACCTCATATTGAAAACGCAGCATTTATGTGGGTGCAGTATATTATACACACAATATACACGTTAAATTGTTGATATTATCACTAGGCTATTAGTAAAGTTTTGGGGAGTCAAAAGTTATTCTTGGATTTTTGACTAGTAGGGGTTGGTACCCGTACCTCTTCTGTTGTTTGAAGGTCAACTGTATATGCAAGCTTACATCTGTCTAAAATTTGAGAAATGTTTCCAGTGAAGCACATAATATTTTTATTGTAAGTTTTGCATGCTGAGGGAATTAAAGAATCAATCAATCAACTACTGGATAATTTTTGTGCAGATTCTGAAAAAGTTATTTCTATGCTCAACTTTGCTTGTAACAGAAATGGGATAGCTACGACTCTGAGTTTGGCTTATTCTTCACAAAGGTTTGAGGAGTTCCAGATGTGGTGGGGTCACTCTTCCTCATATCTAGTGAGTCCCTTCTATGAAACTGCTTTACTTTTGTGTTATATGAGAAAAAGTAGCTTTTATTGTAGGCTAGCTTTTCACCATTGAGAAATTAGGGTTAAGGTTTCAAATCCAAGCAAAGCTAAGGTCAACTGCTTCATCTCTACCCTCCTTGGTTAGTGTCCTGGGTAACTCAGAGTAAGGACAGGGTGGTCCAGGACATACATGTTAGCAGAGGCAGTGTAGCATGACGGGGCAGGCATCCAATTTCCTAAGTATGCTTTAGTTACCAGAATATTTGACACACCCACAAATTAAATAGCAAAACATTTTAATCCATTAATTTAAAAAATAACAGAGACACTTTATATCTGGTGCCACCTCCTCAAAAGTCTACTACAGACAAGACAGACAGAATGCAAAGTAGGAAGTCAGACATTAAAAGCTAAAGATGCAGTATGGGACAAGACCATTATAGGGGAGAGTTCTCTCCCCTTTGTACATAAACATGAGTTTTAAACATTAGTTTAAAAACTCCTTAGAAGGAAAGAGAATACTTTCTCATGCTTATAATCCTTCTCTTTAAAAAAAAAAAAAAAATTTTTTTTAAACCAAACACCCTTATCTGTTTGCAATATTTGAAGGCAAAACAGATCATCCGAGAACCTACCTCCCAAGTATAAGAATCTGAGTTGGATTCCTGGGACTAATAGCTGTGGTTTAGTTTTAGTTCTACCAGTGCTGTGAGGTACTATGGTTCTCATTTTAGTTACAAGAGGTGTTAGGAAAGAATGCCCACTCACATTTAATAATAACTCATCGAGCGCACAACACTGTAGCACGATACCAACAATAGGAGTGTTTTAAAGCAGGCTGGAGAGGAAAGCAGACATTAATACAAAAGTTTTCCTTTGTCCTTCCCCTCTTTTTACAGTGAGAATTCAGTACAAAAACAAATTCTTCAGAATGTCCATGCTGTCCTTCAGTCCACCACATTCCAAACTTCTGACTGCTGATCTCAAGTCTGCTGAGCCTCAGGCTTTAGTGATGTATCCTTCTCGGATAAGGAAATCATAGATTTTCCGGGTCTTGTTCACGTCTATCTTGATCAGTGCTCTTGCCTGTGCCAATCTCAAGCCTCCTTGCTTGTTACATTCATTCAAGAGAGCGGATTTGTATTCTAAATAGGCTCCAGGGACCAACCTCACCATCTGACAAAGCTGCAAGACATGGTAAATTTAATAAACATTAGCATCTGTAATCCTCATAATTTAATCCAACAGGTACAGCCAAAATAAGAAAAGAGTGACATCAACCTCCAACTATTTATAGGAGCTGTTGGGTGGCTGGGCCACATTCCATTTACTGTCATTTCTGGAGAGAACACTCCCTAAAGACAGACACACTTAGAGAGAGAAAGCCAGGGTTTTAATGTTAAGAGAGCCTTCAGCACATGCAGGCTGGCTCAGGGGCCCGGGCTTGTCAGGGAATAGAAGTGTTGTCAGGAGATGCCTAGACGGAAACCCAGCGCTGTTCCAACAGTCAGTTAGGAAAGAGCCACAGGCCACACTGGGGTGGGACTGAAGCTGCAGATACTCTGCTCTTGAGTGTGAGTATCTTCAGTTTGGGGATGAAGTAGCACACCCCTACTCTTACTACTTCAGAAGCTTTCCTTCTGACGTCGAAAACGTAATCACAAGAAGTAAAAAAATGTAATATTCTAACAGAAAATGTAGAGACCTAGTTAAGAGGAGGCCACTTTAGCTGCTAAAGATCTAGAAAGCTGGCTCAATTCCAGTTCATCTGCCATTAGTCAGCAATGAGAAGTATGAGGTCAGCATTATGTTGGTAAGGGTAAAAACTGCTTAATCAGACTGGTCTGTGACCTTCTTTAGAAATATCTTACATATAACATACACTTCCTTCCACTCCCAAACTAATCTTTATAGTTCTTGGTAGATAAAATAAAAGACTAAAAACAAAGATTCTCATATTTGTAGCAGCTTTGTTCTTTATCAAGTCCTGCGAACATGGACTTTAGTGAATACTGAACCATTGGTTCTATGGGAAACACAAGGTTAAGTTCCTGCAAGCTTCTGTTTCACATTATTTTATCAACTGATCAATACATAATCTTGTTTTATCTATGTTTCTATTTGAAGACATCTTATTTAATCTGTATTGCTGATTCCGTAACATTTAACCCAGGGCCAACAGGACTTTGTCAAATCATATCTGAATGAACCTTGTTTAACATCTGGATTTTCTAAGGAGACATCATCACTTTGTTGCATTTAGGGAACACTAGACAGCACTCTGATACTATACTTAGGGACCACTTGAAATGAGAAATAACCAGCAAAAGATAAAAAATAAATGCAAAAAAATATACTACGTAGATTATGAAAAGGATGTTGAGAGCTGAAGCAAAAAGGAAGAGCATGGCTTTATTCAATCTCAACTGGGAACGTGCGCATCAGACAATTTCTACCCACTTTGCCTGGGTCTGTGAATGACTACAAAAGCATCATGAGACATAGCCATGGAGGGCTAGAGCTGAGAGTAAAGCATCCAGCTGATATACAGTGAGAGGTGATGCACAAGAACACCCAAACTTGCAGACAGTACCCATTTGACCTAGCCTCGATGGCTTGAGAATCAGAACTAGACTAGATGATTAAAAAAATAAATAAATGAAATTCTTTTGATAAAGGAAACGAGGATATATTGCTACAATTTGATGAACTTGACCTAACTCATGGAGGTAGTAGCTCAAAATACCAACTGAGAGGGAAGGAGTCTTCACATCAAGTATCAGTGCTATCCCCTCTGTATATAGGGTTGATAGGGATAGGGATGGGCAACTTAGACACTGGCTACCTAAAATGAGGAGGCAATAAAGACACGAAATGATTGGCTTACAAGGTTTCAAGAGGGAGTTTAGTTTAAGAGTGTGCAGGGGAAGAAGGAGTCCCTTCTTCCACTGAATAGTTTTCATCTTGTCTAGATGGGTCTGGTGAAAGAGATGAGGATAAGGTTCTTATGATTCAATAGTGAGTAATGTTATCATGACTAACAGAGACTGTCACAATTGTAGAGGTAGAAGTTTTGTAACAAAAATGGGGGAGTAGTTAATCTTACATTCCAGGAACAGAGGTCACTAGGGCCATCAAGGGAGAAGAGCACAAGCAGAATGAGGGACCCTATCCACAGAAGCAGCGACACCAGAGATGGAGGCAAAGATGGAGGGGGACATGGGGATAGGGAGCAGCTGAGGACTCTAGACTCATAGGAAGACAGAGACAGAGAGACTGAGAGTCCAAGAGGCAGGCTTGCAGAATGTGCCCTTTGGTGGTTTAAATTATTATATATGCCAGAATGTTTATTAAAAAAAAAAAAAGCTAAAATGAATAGAGAGAAATACTGTTAACTGATGGTACATGGAGGGGATTATAATCATTGTAATGAAACAAAGTATAGGATTTGTTGAATGTAAAACTGATGATCTGCCCTGTGAAATTTCACTCAAATCACAATAGAAACTTAAAAAAAAAGCATCACGAGTGTTAACTTTGGAATTACAAAATATTTTAGTAAGTATGTGAATTAAAAAATACGGACTCGACAACGGGTATTAGCTGTAGTAGCTCCAGCACTGTGAATCCTCCTTATGGTCTAAGCTGACCTATGGGGTGGCAGACAGGGAGACTGATCTTGGGAACTATAAAAGGAGCATGGGGAGCATCAGAAGAATTCCTTTTGGAGAATGACTTCAAAGTCATGGTCCACTCTTTTGAAAACTCGTATGACCCTTCTGAGTCTAGGTTTAAAATTCAGAAATAGTCAAAAGCATTATGAAGACAAGTCTGATGGTGACAGTGGGAAAATAGGTCATGGTATTTTTTTTCCCTAAAATTAAGATGTGGCTATATTGATATTTTTCTTAATGGTTATAAATAAGCATGCTCTGAAGATCATTAATATTTAAAGTTAAACTGTTAGAATAAGTGTTAAACTTTCCAAAGTTGCCATTCTAACAGAAAACACTCAGTTTCATGATAAAGTTACGTTAGGTTTATAAAAAGTTAATTTCATAAAGAACTTACTATCACAGTACCCAGCACATGGAAAATGTCTAGAGAGAGGCTATTATTTATATTTTCAGATAACACATTTTCCCCTCACAATAGGAATGGCAGGAGAATGAGGAGGAAGTGGGGAGGTGGGGTGTCTGAAATTCCCTGAGGTTAGCTTCTTAGCTCTTGGACTTCTCCCAGCATAGATTACAACTGCGCAGGTATAAGTGGAACAGAAACGGTTTGATCCTGTAATGGGTTCTTAGTGAAAACGCAAATGAATAACCCCAGCCCCTACTTTCTTTCCTCTACTTCCTTCTTTTTTGTTACCTCCTTTTCTTTGTCATTCAACTTCTCTGTGCCAGGGAGGCCAGTGAGGTTCAATGGTGGTGCGCTTCGTCTACCTATAAGCACAGAGAGAAAAGGGAACACATTTCATAAGTGTGACAATTCTTCAGATGTAGAATACTCAATGTTCAGTGCAGCCAAGCCAAACAGGTGAAGGATCATATATCCAGCTACAGGGAATTTCTGTTCACCAGTTCAGGCCTCGGTTTAGCTAGCAAAATGGGCACTTTCACTTGAAAATTTTAACAATTTATATGCTCTACCAAAATACACACACAACCAAATATGTTACATCAAATAACTACTCACAGTAATTATCAGCTATTTCTTCCTAACCAAGTGAGAGACCCTAAAATCTGAAGTCCAGATGTCATGCAGTTAAGAAAGGTCACACACTACCTGCTTTGACAGCTGATGAACGAAATACCAACTCTGTGGGATAGATATTCTCTAACCCTTGCCCCTCTGCCAGCAGCACAAAGCCAACACAATAATTAACTCAGTATAATTTGCGTTCAGATCAAAAGCAGCCTGCTAGGCCAGCATAAGGCCCTTCCTTTATTATGTGAGGGAATACCTGTACCTTCCAAAGCAGCCCTGTTTACCTGAGAGATCCACACATAGGAACAATGAGCTATTATACTGCAAGGCAGGGGCTGAGGTCAGCTCACATACCTGGGCAAGAAACCCAAGTAGGAGGTCACTGCCCAGGATGGGAAGCTCAATGTACAAAGCTCTTTTTGCTTTGTTTTGTTTTCAATGCGTATTTAGAATTAGCGTTTACTTGAGGGTAGATATGACTCAGTTACACAAAATAAAGCATACACTAATATATTCATAAGTTTTAAGAAGATGACTTTTTAGGGGGAGCAGAAAAAGGGATAGACTGTTACAGAGTGTTTTTCTGTTGGAAAATAATTCTCTGTATCAACAACAAGGGAGACAAGGGCTTTTCTACAACCAGCAGCCCTAAATGCTCAAAAATGGAGACTAAAATCATTTGGTGTCTCACAAAAGTCACCAGGAGCTAGGCTAACAATCAATGATGCCAGGTTTCTGACTTTGCAGTGCCTTACAAGTAACTCAGAGCAAGAGAGAGACAAAGAGGTTTTCTTAACTACAGGGGTGAGAAAGCAACAATGAACGAATTGGTTCAGAAAACACAAATATCAACGTTGCACATTTACGTCATACTGCTCATTCATTTTAATTAGCTGGTATTGTTTGTATTTCTGTACTGAGATTTTTGAGGGAAGAAGGGTGCTAGGAAGTAAACTTACAACCCAAAATATATCTAGCTGACATGGCAACTCACTAAAAGGTTTTATTTTCTCCCTTATGTATTAAAAATAATTACTTGAAACAGGAATAAATGAAAAAAAAAAAAAAAAATCATCCCTAAAGAGATCTTTCCTGAATGCTCTCTAGATACTGAATTTACTGAGGTAACAGGTCTGTTCTTCCAAGCCTCCAAAGAATGGTAAAAATCACGAGAGCGGTCTTTTTGACTACTGTGTCTCTAATTAGTGGAGTGATCATATGTTGTGATTAGGGAAAATAGATATCCTATAATATGGAACAAAGGAGAATGAAACCATGAAAATGGACAAATAAACGCCACTCTCTTGCTTTAAGAGCTCCTTCTATAACTAATACCTCCTCAAACTACCAGACAGTGATTACCAGTCACTAAGGATAATCAGAGAGTCCTGGTGTAGCATTGCAGGACAAGCATTGGACTGCAGTGGTCAGTGGTTCAAACCCACAAGCCACTCCTCCAAAACCCTATACAGGGTCACTGAGTTAGAACCAATTAGAAGCACTTAACATCAATAGCAAGGATTATCCAGGCAACTCTCGTGGTGCGGTGGTGAAGTGTTTGGCTGCTAACCAAAACACTGGCAGATGGAACCCATCAGCTGACCACTGGGAGATAGAGGCAGTCTACTTCTGTCAAGATTTACAGCCATGGAAACCCTATGGAGCAGTTCTACTCTGTCCTAATCATTATGAATTGGAATTGACTTACTGGCAGAGAGCTTAAAAGGATTATCAGGCACCATCTAGATAGATTTGGAGTCCTGGTGTGGCACTGTGGGTTAATATACTGGACTGCAAGGTCTGTTTGAACTGCAAGGTTCAAGTTCACCAGCCACTCCTTGGAAACCCTCCCTATACAGGGTCACTATGAGTTGGAACCAACTTGAAGGCACTTAACAACAACATCTAGATTGATTAAATTGCGTAAATTAACCTAAAAACAGGGCATACCAAAAGAGGAAAAGTTAAGAAACAGAAATTCCCTAAGTCTCCAACTTAATAAAGAAATTCTAGAATTTCGACAAATAATGTCTTTTTGTCCATATTGAATACAAAGCTTTTAATTGATCCCCTGCAGGACAAACTTCAAAATGTGTAGTACATATAACCACAAGTAAATTAACTAACCATGAACATTGGTAAAATAAAGAAGACACCTCCCTGGAAGCTTTCTTTCCGTTTCTGTACTATAACTCTGAGGACTGTCTCTAAATGGCATGAAGATTCTGACAACTTGCTGATGTTTTTACACTGGGCTAACACTTGCTTGTCTATACTCTGCCTAATCACTGCACTCCCACAAAAGTGGTGTTATTGGGTTATCATTTCTCCTAGATTGCGAACTTCACAATGAAGACTTGCTCCAGCCTGAAAAACAATTACCTGAATTTGAAGTCATTGGAATAGAAGGACTCAAGCCGGAATCTCTGTAATGAAGAGACATGTAAACTTAGAAGAAGGCAATTTCCAAAAGCTCTCCTGTATGACTAGGTGCCATTTTTCAGGTGGGTCACTTTGAAGAGATGTAATTAAGTGAAGTGTACTATATGTTTTATAGGGTATGTCACTGTTCTAACCAGGAAAAAAAATCCTGTTCTGGTGGAGAACAATCTCTCGGACTTGCTGAAAGTAGCTCTTAGCGTGGGACACTCCTGAGGTTATTCCTGGGGAAGGGATAGAAATGTGACTCTCCAATGTAAACCGTATCAGTAGCTGTAGAGGGGGAAAGGGAGCATGAGTGGGAGGCTTAGGGGGAATCACTAATTAAAAAAAATAAGATGAAAGTAGCAAAGCAGGACCTAGGATGTTCCTAAGATGGATAACTAAAATCTTTGTGCATTTTTCTAGCTGTCCAATTATTATTATTACTTTGCCATCTAGGGTGCCCCTGGAAATGTCAGAAAATATACTCTAGACTAGTTGCTTACATGTCAGCTTGCCGGCGGAGCCACTGCTGGCAAGCACTACTGTCTTGGATATACTGGAGAACTTCGGAGAGCATGGTACGCTTTAGGCGCTCTTCCTCTCGTGTTTTTTTGAGGTGATCATATGTTCTGGCACCTGGAGGTATAGAAAACACCATGAGTGCAATGACCAGCCAACAATCAGTCTTTCTTTGGCTTCCTTAGCAGAATTTATTCAACAACTAGTATTCCAAGAACAAAGTACATTTTCTCTAGTCTGAAATGATTTCTTGATGCCAAATGAATTTTTTTTTCTTAATTTTCTATCATTAAGAAATTTTGGGGAAAAAACCAAAATGCATAAATGTACAAAGAAAGTAACATTCATATTTCCACCCCTCAAAAGTAACTAAATTATTATTGTCCTATTTCTTCCTTTTTTTAAAAAAAAGTTTCACAAGTGTAAAAATAATATACTTTTCCTTAAGAAACAATTAGAATTACAATCAGTATCAGGTAACAAAAATTGGTTATCAGTCCTTATATGCATCTTGCTAAAAAAAAAAAAAAAATTTCCCCTAAATGTTAACAAGGGTATACATATTCCAAAATACCAGGCCAGCAGGTTTCAAACTATGTACTATGGAATCCCAGGATACCATGGGATACTTATCTCAGGGGTTACTCATGGGCAGTGCCAAATTGGGCTCTACACATAAGCTGAGCCATCAAACGTAACCAAAGAATTTGATGTTTTATTTACAGACTCAAGTTCCACATAAAATTATGTCTTCAAACAGATTTCCACTATTAAAAATAACTTAAGAACCATTATAAAGAATTGAACTTACATCCACAAGACTATATTAAGAAGCACAGCTGCTTGTAGGTAGGGGAAACAGCTTTCAGTCATCGGGGGACTTGAAATAGGAGGAAGGAGGGAATGGGAATGATCATTCTAACAACAGAAGCTATTTATGAAGGATTTACTGTGTGCTAGTACTATGCTGTTTTTACATCCTCTCTCTAGTTTTATATTTATGCTAACGCTATGAGATGTGGAATCCTATGTAACTTGAGCAGAATTATATAGCTGGTAAGCAGGAGAGCCAGAATCCAAAATCAAGTCAAAATCAACTTTGAGTCTAGACGCCAAGTTTATAACTACTATGATGCACTGACTTTCTCTTACCAACCTGGCTCTACTACTAGCTATTTAAACAGTACATATCTCATGAGTTTGCTATGAGGATCAAACAACATGATCCAGGTAAAATGCTTAGCACATATCTCATGAGTTTATGATGAGGAAAACAGTATGTATCTCAGGAGTTTGTGATGAGGAACAAACAACATGATTCAGGTAAAATGCTTACTTAGCACAGGGCCTGGTGTATGGTAAGCATCTGATAGATGTGAGCTGCTATTAGTATGATTACTACCACAACCCCAAGTATGAGGGACGCAAACACTACAGCCAGGTGAAGCTTGGTTAATAAGCATGAGCAGACAACACATCACTAAATTTAAAAGGTTTGGGGCTAAAAACTGCAATACAAAATTATTTTTTAGTAGTCACTACAGAATCCAAAACTTAAAGCATCAAACTCTCTTTTCGTTGTGTCGTAACCTTTGTCCTACCTCAAATAATCCATATAAGGTATTTTCCAGAGCTTAACTAGGTGAAATGTTACTGGAAAATAAGTTCAAAATTGAATTCTGACACAGAAAAACATGTTAAAAAAAAAAAAAGCCCACACCACCTGAAACTGACTGTTCTGTATGTGTCTGGAAGACACTTAGTCTCAGTCTGTGGCTAAAGCATACTTACTACAGAAATTAGTAATGCCTGCTGTCCTATATTCCTGGAGCCTCTTGATTTCTCTTCGGAGTTCAAATTCCACTGTTTCCCCAAAAAGAACAAAGAGTAAAAATTGAAAAACAAAACCAACTTGAATAAGCACTTTTGCTATTGAAAGTTTTCAGTAATTCTGCCTTCTAGAAAAGACTGGGTCATTCCTAGTGTGGTGCTATAGGATAAGCACTGGACTGTGAACCACAGGTCAGTGGTTCAAACCCACCAGCTGCTCTTCAGAAACCCTACACAGGGTCGCTATGAGTTGGAATTGACTCAACGGCACTTAACAACAACAACAACGTGTTGGTAGCTTCTCATTAGAAAAACCTACTCCAGCTGTCCTCTAGCTGCCATCTCCTGGAGACAGCAGTTGAAACTGTCTCAGAAAGCTTACAGTAAATTGGCTGGATTCATTTGTCTACAGAACTGGTTGTTGTTAAGTGCCATGTTGTAGTTAACTACCGTGGAGTTGGTTCCGACTCATATAGACCTTGCACAAGGTTTCCAAGGCTGTAAATCTTTACGGGAGCAGAAGGCCTCATCTTTCTCCCATGGAACCACCGGTAGTTTTGAACTGCTGGCCTTGAGGTTGGCAGCCCAACTTGTAACCACTACAGTACCAGAGCTCCTTAAGTGCCATTTGTTGTTAAGTGCCGTCGAGTAGATTCCAACCCATAGCGACCCTGTATAGGGTTTCCAAGGAGTAGCTGGTGAACTTGAACTGCCGACCTTGCAGTTCAAATGGCTTTGCAGTCTGATGCATTAACCCACAGTGCCATGCAGGACTCCTTATAGAGTTGGTTAAATTCATAGCAACCCTTTATGGGGTTTCCAAGGAGAGGCTAGTGAGTTTGAACCACTGACTTTGCGGTTAACAGTTCAGTGCTTACCTGACAGTGCCACAGCAGGACTCCATCTACAGAAGTAATGTAAGTAATTGTTTAAATAACTAAGTTTCCCAGCTCTATTAAAAGTTCTATGCATCTAACCAAATTCTTTCATGATACCAACACATGTCTGTTATTACTTGATGTGGCTGATGCAAGAGAAGAACAAATGCTCTGTGTCCCAGAGAGTTTCTTTCTAGCTTTTTTCCTACAAGGACAGGAGAGCACTGTTTACCATAAAGCAAAGATTTTTGCCTCCTTTGAGCACACAGGTTGTGCTACTAAAGGCAATTATGTGACGGATGTAACATTCACGTTTGGCTGCTTTAGAAACAGGCTGAAGAAAGAGCCTGGACAGTCCATGGGGTGTAACTCTTTGGAGGTAATACATAAACAAATCAGGGAAGACACAGGCTGGGACAGGGAGGAAGGATCCAGTCTGTCACCCTATATAAACCACACAAAGAATGTCAACCAAACTGGGTGTTTGGTGAGGACAACCAATCTGACTCAGACAAATGCCTGCAATACTGATGCAAGACATATTTCCATGATGAGGACACAAAACTAAACTCGGGGGCCAAATATATTAATGTTATGATCAAAGCTACATAAGAAGTCACCCAGTGCAGATTGTTTTCAAATCTAGGGCTTACTGTCTTAATAATGTCAATTTTTAAATAGTAACTGATTAGTTATCAGAAATAGTCCAGAGAATGGCAAGAGGAATGATGGCAGTGCCGAACACATTAGTCATCTAACTCTGTACCCATTTAGAAAACAGTTCTAATATTAAAATGTTTATGGAAAAAATAATACGATGTCTGAGATTTGCTTCAAAATAATCCAGTGATGGGGGTGTGTGTGTGCAATAAAGCTAAAATCAGATTGGGGATGGCCATGTGCTGATAACTGCTGAAGTTAGGTAACACATGCTGTTGTTGTTGTTACGTGCCATCGAGTTGGTTCTGACCCATAGCGACCCTGTATGGGGTTTCCGAGGAGTGGCTTGTGAGCTTGAATTGCCGACCTTGCAGTTTAAACCGACTTTGCAGTCCAGCGCATTAACCCACAGTGCCACACCAGGTGACAGATAACAGTGGTTTATTTTACTATTATCTTCACACTTCTGTATATATCTGAAAACTTCCATAATAAAAGGTAAGGAGGAAAATACTACTAAACTACTTTTTATTTGGGGAAAAAGCGATTGGGCTTGTTAATCTCGCTTCTCTCACCCCCACAGTCCCACATTTATCTCACTGTAATAAAGGGGAGCAAAGATAGCAACATCTATTTCTTTATTTATAGAACTTCACATAAGACATACTATTAACTCTCCTATTTAAAAATCACACACACAAATACTTGCTCAAGACTCAAAACCACCTACATGCGTGGCTTTCAATGAACTTGTCATGCTCCACAGGCCCCACAATCCTTGCAAATCGCCTCATTGTTTCATAAAGGTCTTGGACCTCCTTGGGATACCGCCGTTCCATTACTACAGAGAAAATAAAAGCACAAACATATCATGTTTTCTGCATTTCTTTTACATTCAGTGAAATGGAAGGATAGTAGTCCTAGCTCACATGACTAACTTACCCGTGACAGGAAGCAAACAGGAAAGCTAGGAATGCAAAACACTAATCATAATGATAAGAGTCATCAAGTAACTATCACACAGGGATGTTCTATCACTGGAGAGCATCTCCATTCCTGAGCAACCTGGTGACCTCACACATCACACCATCTTCCTTTAAAAATAACTTCTCTTCTCTAAACTTCATAGGACACATTGGAAAACTGCACAGATTATAAAAAGTACAGTCAAGTCAATTGCGACCTATACTGACCCTGAATAGGGTTTCCAAGGAGCAGCTGGTGAGCTTGAACCACCAACCTTGCAGTTCAAACGACTTTGCAGTCTGATGCATTAGTCCACAGCGCCACACCAGGACTCCCTCTTACCCTGACTTGGAGTCATCTAGTTATCTCTCCTAAATTATTGGGTATCCTTCTGGAGATTTCAGTGCACATTTGCACAAATAAGTGTGTTTTCCAGAAATAGCATTTATTATACACTCTTCTGTACTTTTCTTATTTTCACTTAATATACAGCATATTTTAAAAAATGACTATATATCAGGGTTTGTTTTTTGTTGTTAAAATTTTTTTGCTACTGAGTAATATACACAGCAAAACATACACCAATTCAACAGTTTCTACATGTACCATTGAGTGATACTAATTACATTCTCCCAATATTACAATCATTCTCACCCTTCTTTTGTGAGATATTCTTCCCTCATCAATATAAACTCACTACTTCCTAAGGTTCCTATTTAATCTTTCAAGTTGCTGTTGTCAATTGGATCCTATAGATAGTTCCTAAAAGAGCATAATGTTCAAGGCAGGCATTTTTACTAGTTTAAGCTAAACTGTTGTTTGGTTTTAAGAAGACTTCAGGGGATATTTTTGGTTTGAGGTTTACAGATTATCTTAAGGCAATAGTTTCAGAGGTTCATTCATACTCTGTGGCTCCAGGAAGTCTGGAGTCCATAAGAATCTGAAATTTTGTTTTGCTTTTTGCCCCTTTTGATGAAGATTCTTCTATGAAATCTTCTATGATTTGCATTCAAATCTTCTATATATATGCATTCAGAACTGAAACCTCATTTTATGTTCCACTTCTACATTCTCAGAAGCATAAGCACTTCCCCTCAGCCCTCTATTTCTGAAGTAGAGCTAACAGGATAATGAGGCCTAACTGACCTCACACTAGCTGAGAACAGATACATGTGAGAGTCAGTGTCTACTCTGAGTAAAGGTCAAAACAGCTGATCTAAAAGAATACCCAGGAATTTAAGCAGAGCAGCCTACCACTGTGGCTACCAGAACATGACCACTTCTTGTCTATAGAACGGGCAAGGGAAATCTGATCCTCAATTATTTTTGTAAATCTACAGCTCTTGAGGAGGATGGGATTAAATAGGCAATCCCATACACTGTAGAAGTAATATGAATTGATACAACAATTTTTTGGAAAGCAACCTGGCAACATGTGTCAAGAGTTTTAAAAGTTCATGTTCTTTGATGTATTAATTCTAATTCTGGGAATCTATCTTTAATAAATAAATAAAACGTTATGGCGGTGTGTCGCAGAGTCAGTTCTGGCTCATTGCAAGCCTGCATAGGGTTTCTGGGGCTGTAAATCTTTACGGGAGCAGAAAGTCTCATCTTTGTCCCACAGAACAGTAGTTTTGAACTGCTAACCTTGAGGTTAGCAGCCCAACTTTTAACTACTACGTTACCAGAGCTCCTTAAAACCTTCAACACAGATGGAGCTTTATTCACATATACGTTAATCACAACATTATTTATGAAGATTAAAACAACTGAAAATAAGCTCATTTTTTTATAAGGTTGGTTTGAACTGCTAGGTCAGCAGTTCAAACTCATCAGCCACTTCTTGGAAACCCTATACTCATAACCCACTATACACAGAGTTGCTGTGCATTGGAATCGACTCAACAGTACTCAGCAGCAGCATCTGTCTATCTCTGTGGACCTATAGACACACAACGGAGTCCTGCTGTGCTGCTGTAGAGTAATAAGCACTAGACTGCAAGGTCAATTTGAACCACAAATTGATAGTTCAAGCTCACCACATGCTCCTTGGAAACCCTATAGTGGGTCACTATGAGTCAGAATTGACTCTACAGCACTTAACAACAACATATACACACATACATATTATAGAATCATTAAAAGGGACATACTCAAACCGTAACTGTTACCCCTGAAGTTAAAGAAAGAGAGAGACAGAATAAAAGGTACGCTAAGTATGTAGCATATTTATGATCAGGACTATATATTTTAAAAAACTATATATAGGAATTTAGGAGTCCTAGTGTGGCACTATACAAAGAGCGCTGGTAGCATAGTGGTTACGAGTCGGGCTGCAAACCGCAAGGTCAGCAGTTAGAAACTACCAGCTGTTCCGTGGGAGAAAAATGAGGCTTTCTGCTCCTGTAAAGATTTACAGCCTCGGAAACCCTATGCAGGGTTGCTGTGAGTCCACGGCACATAACAACAACAACAACAAGTGTGGCACTGTAGGTTAATGCGCTGGACCGCAAGGTTGGTTTGAATCGCAAGGTCGGTGGTTCAGACTCACCAGCTATGCCTCAAAAACCCTATACAAGGTTGCAATGGGTTGGAACTGACTTGACAGCACTTAACCAAACAAAAAAATAGGTATTGAAGGAGCCCTGGTAGTATAGTGGATTAAGAGTTGGGCGGGTAACAGCAAAGTCAGCAGTTCAAATCCACTAGCCACTCTTTAGGAGAAAAATGAGGCTTTCTGCTCCTGTAAAGATTTACAGCCTCGGAAACCCTATGCAGGGTTGCTGTCAGTCAGAACCAACTCGACGGCACATAACTACCACTACCACCATCATACATAGGTATTTAGGTGGAAAAGACACAATTATAAATATTTCATATAAATACTGTAAATAATATTATTATAAGATCATCATTCTCATTTGATAAACAAACTCTATACCACGTGGTGGTGGTTGTGTGCTGTCAAGTCAATTCCAACTCATAATGACCCTATGTAGGGGTTCCGAGGCTGTAAATCTTTATGGGAGCAGAAAGCCTCAGTTTTCTCTGCGAGTGCGTCGTGGATTCAAACTGCTGACCTTGATATTAGCAGCCTAATACGTAAGCCACTATGCCACCAGAGCTCCTTAAACAAACTCTACACTATAGAAGAAGAAAAACTGCAGGGGCCTTTTCTGTACAGTTTGGCTAGCTCTTAAATTTGAAACAATAAAATCAACTTTATTGTTAAGTACCATTGAGTCAGTTCCCACTCATAGTGACACTGCATGGAGTTTTTAAGGAACAGCTGGTGGGTTTGAACTGCTGATCTTGTGGTTGGCAGTCCAGTACTTATGCTACAACACAAAACCAGGACTCCAAGTCAACACTGTTTTTGTTGTTGTTAAGTACCATCAAGTCAGTTTTGGCCCATAGCAACCCTATATAGGGTTCTGAGGAGCAGCTGGTGGATTTGAACCTCCGACTTTGTGGTTCAAATGGACCTTGTGGTCTAGCGCATTATTCTGCAGCATCGCATCAGGAGTCTCAAAAGCATTCATTTAAAAACATTACAGATTATTTCCATCATAATATTGTTAAATACATTTTTTTGTTTGTCCACTATCATGCAAAATCAGTTTTTGTTGATTTTTCCATGAAAATATGTTTATAATCAGATGATCAAGGTTATAAGCAATTAGCATGTAGTTCCAAAATATGACCCAATCAATTTCTAAAAACTATGCCATTAATATTCATGCTGTAATTACCATACCAATTTTTAAAAAGAATCCTATTCCAAGGGTTGACAACCACAAATGATTAGTTCTTAACTCTTATTAAGCATCATTATCATTTTGAAAGCTTTTAAACAACAGAGATGCTCTACTCCATCCCCAGAGATTCTTAGTCTGGAGCCATGCTTTCTAAGTGGTGCTAATGTGCTATAGGGATTAAGATTACTGCCAAAAATGACTTATTTAAAACTATTTAATAATGTTGGAAGAAATTTTTAAATAAAGAAAATAGCTAATACTTACACTGAAACTTCCTAAGGTTGATTAGTCCATGGTCTCTTATAATTCTAGAATGAAAAAACACAATAATCCGTATATCAGAATTAGTTTCATGTTTAATAATGCCCTCCACATGTAATTTTTAAATGTTTTATTGTGACTTATGTGATAGTTTACATGGGAGAACATTAGCTTTACATTCATCCTGTCGTATATCATTTCATTGCCAATGGTTACAATCCCCTCTATGCATCATCAACCAACCAAAGGGTATACCCTGAAAGCCTGCCCCCAGTCATCAGCACACAGCCCCTCTCCCTCTCTGGGTCTAGAGTCCCCAGCCGCTCCATCTCTCCACGTCATCGTGTCTGCCTCCAGCTCTGGCGTCACTGTTTCTCTGGGTAGGGTCTTGCACTCCGCTCATCTCCCTTGATGGTTCCAGGGACCTCAGCTCTTGGACTCCACATGCAATTTTTACTGAAATCCTAACACTCTGATGTAGAACACTGAGGTCTAAAAAAGTCACTCCTCACAAAGTTCAGCAGGTCAATGAATCACTTATACAATTTTAGGTTCCCAAGCCTCACACACTATTTTTCTTGGGCAAAACAGGCTCTCAATAAATATGCTGAATCAATGAATGAATTAATGAGCACTCACAAATACTGAAGAACACATCTGTCCCTTAAAATGAAACAGAAGGGAATGTGTGTCTGTAATATAAAGATTAATCTATCCAAATTGGGAAAATAATCATTAACAATAGCCACTTAAGGAAAACCTATCAAGCATCACAAGCACCAAAATGTTCATGGAAAAATGGAGTTTTTCCATGAACTTTTTGAAGCCTGCTTGTATTTTTTGATCTGCTACAATGAGAAGGAATAAACAGGAGCCTGAAACTTGTTCAGAATTTCTTTGAAATCATTCTAGATGAAAGGCTTCTCATAAAAAAACAGGCAGTTAGAATAAGAGTATTAAAACAACAACAACTTAATAACACTAAATTTATTTTGTTTTGCTTTTCCCATTGAACTCAAAACAGTCCACCCATGTAATGACAGTGCAGGTCATCATGACATCAGCACATCAGGAAGAGGTAAGGAGATGGCAAAAACAGGGTGGGGATTGTTAGCCACATTTGACAAATGAAAAAACAGAGGCCCAAGAGGGATAAGTGATTTCCCCATGGTCCCAACCTGAGTTAACAGGTAAAATGTTCTTATCAATTATATAGCACAAAGCTGCAAGGTGACAGGATGATTTTCTATACTTACTTTTTTCGCCGTTGTCTCTCTTTTAACCTGGAATGATAGATATCTACCACAGCCATCTTCAGAGCTGTAAACAAACAAATAAAGCCAAGACAAAAAAAGATAATTTACTCAAGCTGTTCTAGACTTTGAATTTCATATTGCTAAGTAACCCACACTCATTGGTCCTTCAAAAATTTGTCTCTTAGAAATTGAAACATTATTTTAGATACTCAATTTCTCAATCTAAATTACAATGAAGTTCTTTTTTTTAACCTATATCTTTATATGGCATTACACTATAAATAACAATTTCTGCTTTCAACTGAATACTTCTTTTGGCCATTGTTGTATGTCTTGCTGTTGCTGTGGTTAGTTCCTGGCTGTTGTTAAGTGCTGTCAAGTCAATTCCAACTCATAGCAACCTGTATAAGCTTTCCAAGGAGTGGATGGTAGGTTGGAACCTTGTGCTTAGCAGTCCAGTGCTTATCCTACAGTACCACACAAATATCATTTGATATTTTTTTCCTCACAATTTCTAATTCCAAACTTGTATTCTGTCCCTTTGCCATCCTCTGAAACTGGCATCATAGTAATATCTAGTCTTCCCAAGTCAGGTATCAGCCTGAATTCCTCCCTCCCCGTCTCTCTGTATAAGGAGCTCTGCTAGCGTATACAGTGGTTATGAGGTGGGCTGCTAACCCACCTCATAGTTCAGGAGTCTGAAACTACCAGCTGTTCCATTGGAGAAAGATAAGGCGTTCTACTCCAGTAAAAATTTACAGCCTTGGAAACCGATACAGGGTCATTTTAAGTTGAACCAACTCCATGGCACACAACCACCACCATCACCTCCATATATAGTCAATACCTGAGTCTTATCAACACTTCAGCACTTACATCTCAAATTCATCTTTTCCTTTTCATCTGCAATTCTATTTTTTACCTAAATCACTGCATCAATCTCCTTACTGACTCTGGTCCTGTTTTGCTATAATTCAGCCCCCCCCCCCCCCAAAATGGTACCAAAAGTTATTACTTTAGAGTACAACCTGATCATGTAATTCCTTGCTTATAATTCTTCTATTCAGTTATAGGAGTCCAAACTCAAAAGGTGATAAAAGACCTTTTACTATTTGTATCCTATCTACCTCTCCAGTCTCTCAGTTCCTACCACTTCCTCATACAACCTGCCCAAGATCACACAGTTACTACACACAGAGCAGGGATCCTAATTCTAGGTGGTCTGGTTCCAAAACCCTGAATAGGAGAGATGCTGAAATTAACCAACATGTATAGTAATTTCTCTGTAAGTAGGTTTACAGTCTTTGTATTAGTCCTATATGCTAAGTGTGGTTTAACTGAAAGTGAAATGTGTATTATTTTTAAATCTTAGAATTAAAACACTTCCACAGGTTTGTTGTAGTCAGAGAGCCTCTAGGGTTAAGAAATGATGACCAATTCTTAAGAACTCCAGAAGAAAATATGAGTAATACATAGTTTAGCACTATGCTACATTAAACCATGCTATTCATTTATAATCTATGGATTCTGAAAGCATTTTAAAATTTAAATTCAGTAGATTCTGGAACTATTTTAATGATTTGTTCTCTTGTTAAGCTGGGTGCATTTTGTTTTGAAGAGTTTGGTGTTTTTTGTTTTAATTACTGGTGTGGTACTATAGAGCCCAGAAGAGGCTCTAGAACACAATATAATAACCTGCTATGTGTCCTTTAAAAAAGTAAAACATGATACAAATATTGTTATGGTTGTATTGCTGAGTCAGTTCTAACTCACAGTGAGCCTGTACAGGGTTTTCTAAAGTGGCTGACAGGTTTAAACCACCGACCTTTTGGTTAGCAGTCCAGTGATTATCCTACAGCGCAATACCAGGGCTCTGATTAAAATGTCGTTAAATGCCACTGAGTAAATGTTAGGCAATAAAATTTCTAATAACACATTAGCCTTTGTAGCAAAATATTTGTGTATAAGGATCACTTCTTTTAAGATGTTGTTGTAAGTGCTGTTGAGTTAATTCCAATTCATAGAGACCCTGTATGAGGTTTCCGAGCTGTAGCTGGTGAGTTTGAACCACCAACCTTCCAGTTCAAACTGACCTTGCGTCAAGTGCTTATCCTACAGAGCCACACCAAGATATCTTCTAGGATAATAAACTTCATACCAAAATATAGCCCAGAACCTCTGGAATGCTGATAGAATCAAATATCAATATAAACTCATTCATTGTCCAAAGGATATGAGATCCAAATTGAAGTATATCCCACGGGGGCAATTAGCAAAAATGAATTATGTTCTCACTCTGAGGTGGTAAATTTCCGCTGAAGAGACAAGCAGACCAGCCTAGAACGGCTAGAAGAAACAGAAGATACTTCTTGAAATAAAGACCAGCAGGAAAAATAAAAAACAAGAATGGCAGTCCTATTGACTACTACAAGAACAATCAAGTTATTCACCTGGGAGCCATCAAGGCAAGTGGTCAGGTCCCCTCAGGGCAAACCCCTTTCCAAGACTAAGATTCAAGGGGCATGTGGTCTTGCTGCTGAACACGCTGCTCACCGATAAGGGGAAGTGGGGGAAAAACAGCAATGAAGTTGTAAGCTAAGTCTGACCACACTGAATAGACTCCTGTCAACCTGGGTTGAGACCCGATTGGCCAGCAGTATGGCGAAACATGGGGACTCCTGAGCCCAGGGACAGGGATGTGGGCTACAAGGGACTAGAGGGGAGAGTGACGCGTCCAGCTGATATGAAGTAAGGGGAGATGCACAAGAACACCTGTACTTGAAGACAGTATCCACTTAACCTGGCTTCAATGGCTGGATGATCAGAACTCAACTAGAGGAAGAAAGAAGAGGAAAAAAAGCATAATCCACTACAATTTGATGAACTTGACCATGCTTGTGGATTCAGTAGCTCAAAAGAGGGAACGAATCTTTACAGCGAGGATCATTCCCACCTCCTCGGTACACAGGGTTGACAGGGATGGGCAACTTAGACATTGGCTACCCAAAATGGGGGGGCTACAAGGGCAAGAAGTGACTAGCTTACAAGCTTTCAAGAGGGAGCCTAATTTCAGAGAGTATGGGGAAAGACAGAATCTCTACTGAGTGGTTTCCAAGCTGTCTGGATAGGGCTGGTGAAAGAAGATGGGGATAAGACTCTCGTGGTTCAATAGTGAATAATTGCTATGAGGACTGATTGTGAGTGCTGTAAATGTACGGGTAGATGCTTTGTAACAAAAGGAGGGGAGTGGCTGATCTTGTAATCCAGGAGCAGAGGACCCTGGGACCATCAAGGGAGAATAGCAGAGTACGGGACCCTATGTAGAAAAGCAGCAACGCCAGAGATGGAGGTAGATAGAGATGATGACGTGGAGAGGTGGAGCGGCTGGGGACTCTGGACTCAGGGAAGGAGAGGGGCTGTGTGTTGACGGCCAGGGGCAGGCTTATGGGGTGTACCCTTTGGCTGTTTGATGATGCATGCAGGGAATTATAATCATTGCAAAGAAATGAAATAAGATAGGATGAATATAAAGCTAATGTTCTCCCATGTAAACTATCACATAATTCACAATAAAAACTTAAATTAAAAAAACAAAGGAGGAGGCCTGGTAGTTAAAAAAAAAAAAAAAAATTAATATCTTCTACTAAAGTTAGTTTGGAGTCCTGGGGTGGCACTGTGGGTTAATGCGCTGGGCTGCAAAGTCAGTTTGAACTGCAAGGTGGGCGGTGCTCACCAGCCACTCTTCGGAAACCGTATACAGGGTTGCTATGGGTTGGAAGTGACATGACAGCACTTAACAACAATAACAAACATTAGTTTAAAATCCTGTTTTCAAATAAATCTTATTTGGAACAGATACAGTAGATGGGCTCTAGTTGTTCTTTTCTCCCTATTATCTATATCCCTGGTGTAGCACTGTAGGATAAGCGGACCACAAGGTCGGTTTGAATAGCAAGGTTGGCAGTTCAAAACCAGTCACTCTTCGGAAATCCTAAACAGGTTCGCTATGAATTGGAACTGATTCCATGGCACTTACCAACAACAACCAATTTTCCCAGTAGTAGCCCCTAAGGGTATCTCCATGGGATAGTCTGAAACCTCACTTCTGTTGGAACTAGATTTTAGGGTTTTTGTTGTAGGCTGTCGGGTCAGTTGGACTCACAGTGATCCTATGTAGGGTTCAGAAGCTATAAACCTTTATAGGAACAGAAAGCCTTACCTTTCTCCCACAGAGCAGCTGATGGACTTGAACTGCTGACTTTGAGGTTACCAGCCCAACAAGTAACCCCCTATGCTACCAACACCCCTTAAACTTTTGGATTGTTGTTGTTAAGAGCTGTCGAGTTGTTTCTGACTCATAGCGACCCTGTATACTGTTTCTGAGGAGCTGTTGGTGGGTCTGAACTGCTGACCTTGTGGTTTGCAATCCACTACTGACCCTACAGAAGCCATACCAGGAAAAACCAAAAAAGAAGGGACCGACCAAGTAAGAGAACAAATCACAATGAAACTTATTAAAATCATTGATTTCTTTTACTATATGGTAGCACATCAAAATTTTTGAGCAACATATAACCCTAATATATTGTTACTATGGTACTCTATCAAGATGTTAAGTGCCATTGAGTCATTTCCAACTCATAGAGACTCTCTGTAGGGTATCTGAGGCTGTAAATCAGTGTGTGAGCGGAAAACTTCATTTTTTTCCTACAGAGCAGCTGGTGGGCTCAAACCACCAACTTTATGGTTCACAGTTCAGTGTTCCTCCTATGGATCGTAAATAAGAGAAATAAATTCTGGATACTCAATCATGATTCATTACTGTACACCTAACACTCGGTTAATGAATTCTGGGTAGTATAGTGGTTGTAAGTTGGGCTGCTAACCTCAAGGTCAGCGGTTCGAAACTACCAGCCGTTCCACAGGAGAAAGATGAGGCTTTCTGCTCCCATAAAGATTTACAGCCTCAGAAGCCCTACACAGGGTTCGTTATGAGTCGGAACCAACTTCAAGGCACACTACCACCACCACCACTCTGTTACTTCTGCCCTTAGGATGTTTTCA